CATTTAAAATTGTCCGGGCTGAGTTCAGATAACTTAAAGTCATCACAGTGTTTATTTACAATGGAAGCGAATGTTATATAGTCTTCGCTGTCCTTTTTTGTTAGATTCAGACATTTCCATCTTTTGTGGAATAGTGAGGTATTTGGGCTAAATAGTTCTGTTAACAGTTTTATGGCTTCCTTGAAAGTTAGCTCATTTGTTTTCCTTGGTAGGATGTAGTCTACGAATTTAGTGTGTTCGCTAGACCCTAATTTTCTTAGTAGTAGACGTACTTTTCTTGCGTCTGACCAATTCCAGCAATCAAACTCATATAAATCTTCGTACCTTCTGAAGTAAGCTGCGAAGGTTTTGTCTTCGTCTGGTTTATACGTGAAATCTTCGATAGAGTTCCATATAGTATTTTGTGAGAGAATGTTTCATTTCCAGAATTTTGCCCTTTATTTGTTATTACGCGTAGCAATAATTCTTGTAGTTCCAGATGCTTCTCTTCGTTTTTCTGTTGCTGCTCAAATTGTATTTTCATAAGTTCCAATATGGTTGCCTTTAAAATCTTCCATATTTACCGTAATTATGTAAGTATTTTTCTTTTTAGTTTAGACTTCAGGTCTTTGTTGTCTGTTATTCTGAAACCTTAGTACGGAAAAAACATTTTCCTGTGTAGAATTTGTGTCTTTGTTACTACTGTAAAGTTGGTGTCCAAAAAGAAAATTTTCTCTTTTTTTTTTTCTTATGTTCGCGTAGAACGTTCTTTTTTTCTATTACTATCTACGTCGCCTCTGTTATGGACGGCCGATAGCAAAAAGTTTTTTTGTAGATTCTCCGCGTAGAGCTTGTTTCTTGAGTATACTTTTTAGGATTTCTCCGCGTAGAATTCGTTTCTTCAGTTCCTCGTCGCCACTGTTATGGGCGACGGATAGCAAAAAAGGTTTGTCCTCCGCGTAGAATTCGTTTCTTCAGTTCCTCGTCGCCATTGTTATGGTCCAATATCCTCGCACCACAGTTATGGTCCAAGGTTAGAACCAAGGAAGAACAACACAAACACAAGAGTAGAATAACAAAGATATATTACAACAGAAATATAGTACAAGAAGTTGAAGGTGTTTGTAATGACTGTCTGTCTGGTTAAGAGTGAACTAATATTGTCTCGACTCGTTACACCATTCATTCATTATACCTCTTGAGAGGCACAGTATTTATAGTGTCAGGAAGAGTCCATTAACGTTATAGGTAGGTTCCCATAACACTTATCTACAAAAATGATTTCCAAAACAAAATCTCCCTATATTTATAAGTGAACCAGTCTATTTAAGTAATGCTATAATAGTTTACGCAAATAATCTCGTTATTTTTAAGGGGTACTATCCTAGTGACGTAAACAATATATTCTGGTTTTGTAGATGAAAGTGGAGCAAGAGAAATAGTTGTATTTTAACCCTCAACACCGTCTGAATCCAATGTACGTAGTCATAATTCCTGTTATGCTTTTCATTGGCCACTATATTTAACACGCCTTTAACATTCCTGTTTAGCATTCGTCATGTTCCGCTCCAATAAATTATTTTTAACAATAAATAACAGCAAGTAATACTTTGAAGTTGATTTAAAATCGAATTTAATATAGAAATACAAAGCATGTAAGGAAGAAAGGGATTGTGAATGATAATGATTTCTAATAGAAATTCCCATTGTGAATGTTTTTGCTATAGGAATCCATTGCAAATAATTTTCACATGGAAATGAATTGTGAAAATAATTTTACTGAAATAATTCATTGAAAATCAAGAGAATAACGAATTGGTTGAGAATTAGGCCAACGCTGCTAACGAAATATGGCTATTATTGTTGTGGACTGTGTGTGTTTGCGTATTGTTGTATTAGAAACACGTGTGTAACTCCTGGTAGAATATTAAAAGGTCCAACTATAAGAAAATGGCGGGACTTGAATTAAGTCCAACAGAAGATGAAAAGAAAACAAACAAGCCATATATATATATATATATATATATATATATATATATATATATATATATATAAACAAATATATGTATTAAACAAAACAATTTTACAATAGACGCCCAGTATTTATAGTATAGGGAGAATGACCCCTAGTGACAATTTGGGAATTAAGGAGGAGCTAACTCCGACAATACCCCACCTAAAATTGAAAGTTGTAGGAAACGAAAACTTTTGATATGTAAAAGGTTCATGGAAATTTTGAATATTGTCCTTGGGAACTAAAAAGAAAAGGTGTAGGAATTGTGGTTGGGATGCGTGATTCGACGAAATGTACATGGGCTGTCTAGAGGCTGCTGTATATTTTTCTCCTGTGGGTCAGAGTCGGAGCACGTCCGGGAAGAAACGTCGGTAGTGTTCAGCGTTTGCTATTAAAATTTGTCTTTTTCCAATGCTCCACGTTGAATTGGCTTCGTCGTCCGTCGCACTGTTTCCCGATCGTAGTTTTGTTTGAAAACGAGCTTTTTTGTTTGCTATGCGTGAATAAAGTTGAGCTGATGTAGAATTTCTACCGAGTGTCGAATGCTGTTTGAGAGAATTTGCTATTATTGTCGATTGAATATCGAACTTACAAATTCTTAGTTTATTCGAGTTGCATCGTTGCAGAATGAAGATAAAGAACAGTGAGTCGCCTTTTGAGATGTGGTGTCACACTTTATCTATTTCAGTCCAGAAAAAGAAAGTGTTAATTAGTTGAAAATGACGTTGCGTTTTCCGTTTGGTAAGCCGAGTGAAATTAGGTCAAACGTCGCCGAGAGAAAGAAAGGGTCAAGCAAATAGACAAGTATGAGAAAAAATATTCTAAGGCTCGTGGCATAGTAGTAGTAATTGTAGTGCCGATTCGAGCTTCTATGGTTTCCATGTGTTGTAGAAAAATTCTACTTGTCGTGCCGGAGAAATTGTGTTCTGTACATATATACCGTTTTGTGTCTGTTAGCAGGATTTGAAAATTGATTCACGTCGGAAGGTAACCAATTTGTAGAGGACCGTGTGTGTTTGAGTGTTGTTGTATTAGAAACACGTGTGTAACTCCTGGTAGAATATTAAAAAGTCCAACTACAGGAAAATGGCTGGACTTGAAGTAAGTCCGGCCATTTTCTTGAAGATGAAAGGAAAACAAACAAAACCGATATATATATATATATATATATATATATATATAAACAAATATATGTATTAAACAAAACAATTTTACAACGGGCATAGACAATAATATTTGTGTGTATGTGAACATATGTGTCTATTCTTTGGTGAATGTTCGTACGTACGTGTATAATGTTCATGGCGTCTCCCACAAATGGGAAGACGCGGATCTTCTAAGACAGCTTACATTGTAGTCGCTGAAATGAAAAAATGAAAAAGAGAACGAGGCGAGAAGTCGCCCAGTATTTATAGTATAGGGAGAGTGACCCCTATTGACAATTTGGGAATTAAGGAGGAGCTAACTCCGACATTATAATCTCTGCCTGAATTTCTGGGATCAGGAGTTCACATTATTTGCATTATTTACAATCGGACTAATATCTTTGTTGTTATTATCACCTGATCACCTACAAACTGAATTTCTGGGTTGAGGAATTATCATTATTTGCATTTAGACTAATGTCCTCATCTTTGTTGTTATTATCACTTGATCACCTACTGACTGAATTTTTGAAATGGGAAATTATCATTATTTCCATTTAAACTAATGTCCTCATCTTTGTTATTAATATCACAAGGTTTCGATCGTTAGGTCCGCTGGCTTTCTTCAGGTGCTTTCCATTTAGGGAATTTCTAACTGAAACTTTTATTTAATTTTCAGGGGTAGATTGATCTCGTTCCGCTGGCCATGTGCTGGCCATGATATCACGTTTTGTCCTTTTTTTAGTACTACTCAGCTATTACTCACCCAGTTTCCACAATTTCTCAGTGTGCGCTAACCGGTCCAGGGATTGACCCCCTACCCTCGATTATTATGTTCTCAAATTCACAAACCAACCCTTTTAATCCATTTGCTTTAAACTCAGTGAAAACAGGACAAGCAATAACTGAGCAGTAATAAAAAAAACGAACAAGATGATATATCCCTACACATGGTCTTAAAAAAAATGTTAATGCTATATTCATTTGCAAAAAAAAAAAAAAAAAATTACAATAAAAAATGTTACGGATTTAATAACGTACAAACGATTGATAAACCGTAAAAAATAAATCGATGAATCAATTCTACTTTTCCCATCTACGGTTTAAATATTAGAACTTTCTGGAAAAATCATTTTTACCTACAAAAAATTGTTATGCAATATTCACTTGGAATTTTTTTTTTTAAATTCTTACAATCCAAAATGTTTCAGTTTTAAATATCCAACAAGGGGTTGAGAAGCTGTATAAAACAATTTTTCCCTATGGGTTAAATAGTATACTTCGTATATGGAAAAATCATTATCCCCCAAAAAATGTTAATGCAATATTCACTTGCAAATAAAAATAAAATAAAATAAATCAGATAATATGTTTTGGTTTTAAGTAACTAACAAAAGGTTGGTAATCCGTAAAAAAGAAATAACCCACTCTTATTACTATTACTACTACTCATTATTTCATATAAGTTCTCTTATTAGCAACATTACTACTATTACTACTATTATTCTTCATTTTTCTTTTTTTCCGAAACAAACTCATGGTGCCAGGTGGTCAGTGTCTGCCTGTCTCAATGTCTTTGACGTTTTACAGACATCCTAGCGGTTTGTTGCGACGTTCCTTTGCCGATGGCTAAATTCATTCAGCATTAACAAGAAGAGAGAATCAAAATGAGCGACACAGGATAAGAAAGAAAGGAAAGAATTTTTGAGTTTGCTTAGTCTTTCACTCACTTTGCATTCACTCTTGTCAATTCTTTTAATCAGTTCCTTGATGTGATTTTTACTTCATTCTATTCATTGAACATTCAACCTTTCCTACACAGTTACATTTTATATTATTTATTTAATCCTTTCACTCAATTAATGCCGTCTTTATTCCCTGCTTTCACTTCTTTAGTCTTCTTACATTTTTATGCATATCAATGTTTTGTCTTTTCTTTTTTATTTGTTTCTATTCTTCAGTTTTCATTTTTCTTGTTGATTGCCTTTCTCTTTTCTTATCAAGTCTTTCTTTCTTTCCTTCTTTCTTTCTTTCTTTATTTTCACAGTTATTTGTCTTTCTTTCCCAGTTATTTTTCTTTCTTTGTTCATCGTTTTTATTATTTTGTTCCCCAATTTTCAACTTATTTGTTGTTTTCCCTTTTTCTGATTAATTCATTCACTCATTCTTTCTTTCTTTCTTTCCAGTTATTTTTCTTTCATTCTTTTCATACTTGTTGATCGCTTTTCTCTTTTGTGATCAACTATTTCTTTCTTTCTTTCTTTCTTTCTTTCTTTCTTTCTTTCTTACTTTCCAGTTATTTTTCCTTCATTCTTTTCATACTTTCTGATTGCGTTTCTCTTTTCTGATCAACACTTTCTTTCTTTCTTTCTTTCTTTCTTTCTTTCTTTCTTTCTTTCCAGTTATTTTTCTTTCATTCTTTTCATACTTTCTCATTGCTTTTCTCTTTTCTGATCAACTCTTTCTTTCTTTCTTTCTTTCTTTCTTTCTTTCTTTCTTTCTTTCTTTCCAGTTATTTTTCTTTCATTCTTTTCATACTTTCTCATTGCTTTTCTCTTTTCTGATCAACTCTTTCTTTCTTTCTTTTTTTTTCTTTCTTTTTCTTTCTTTCTTTCCAGTTATTTTTCTTTCATTCTTTTCATACTTTCTCATTGCTTTTTTTTCTTTTTTCTGATCAACTCTTTTCTTTCTTTTCTTTCTTTCTTTCTTTCTTTCTTTTCTTTCTTTTCTTTCTTTCTTTCCATTTTTCTTTTTCTTCTTTTCGTTTTCTTTTCTTTTCTCTTTTCTGATTGCTTTTCTTTTTCTTCAACTTTTTTCTTTCTTTCTTTCTTTCTTTCTTTCTTTCTTTCTTTCTTTCTTTCCAGTTATTTTTCTTTTATTCTTTTCATACTTTCTCATTGCTTTTCTCTTTTCTGATCAACTCTTTCTTTCTTTCTTTTCTTTCTTTCTTTCTTTCTTTCTTTTTTCTTTTTCCAGTTATTTTTCTTTCATTCTTTTCATTCTTTCTCATTGCTTTTCTCTTTTTCTGATCAACTCTTTCTTTCTTTCTTTTCTTTTTCTTTCTTTTCTTTCTTTCTTTCTTTCTTTCCAGTTATTTTTTTTTCTTTTCATGCATTCTTTTCGTCAACTTTCTGATTGCTTTTCTCTTTTTTCTGATCAACTCTTTTCTTTTCTTTCTTTCTTTCTTTCTTTTTCTTTCTTTCTTTCTTTTCCAGTTATTTTTTTTCATTCTTTTCATACTTTCTCATTGCTTTTCTCTTTTCTGATCAACTCTTTCTTTCTTTCTTTCTTTCTTTCTTTCTTTCTTTCTTTCTTTCTTTCCAGTTATTTTTCTTTCATTCTTTTCATACTTTCTCATTGCTTTTCTCTTTTCTGATCAACTCTTTCTTTCTTTCTTTCTTTCTTTCTTTCTTTTTCTTTCTTTCCAGTTATTTTTTTTTTTTCTTTTCATACTTTCTCATTGCTTTTCTCTTTTCTGATCAACTCTTTCTTTCTTTCTTTCTTTCTTTCTTTCTTTCTTTCCAGTTATTTTTCTTTTATTCTTTTCATACTTTCTCATTGCTTTTCTCTTTTCTGATCAACTCTTTCTTTCTTTCTTTCTTTCTTTTTTCTTTCTTTCTTTCTTTTCTTTTTTTTCAGTTATTTTTTCCTTTTGATTCTTTTCATACTTTCTCATTTTTTTTTTTTTCTTTTTTCTTTCTTTTTTCTTTCTTTTTTTTCTTTCTTTCTTTCTTTTTTTCCTTCTTTTTTCTTTGCTTTTCTCTTTTTGATCAACTCTTTCTTTCTTTCTTTCTTTCTTTTATTTTTTCTTTCTTTCATTATTTTCTTTTCATTCTTTTCATACTTTCTCATTGCTTTTTTTTTCTGATCAACTCTTTCTTTCTTTTTCTTTCTTTCTTTTTCTTTCTTTCTTTCTTTCTTTCTTTCAGTTATTTTTCTTTCATTCTTTTCATTCTTTTTTCTCATTGCTTTTCTCTTTTCTGATCAACTCTTTCTTTTCTTTCTTTCTTTCTTTCTTTCTTTCTTTTTCTTTTTCTTTCTTTCCAGTTATTTTTCTTTCATTCTTTTCGTACTTTCTGATTGCTTTTCTCTTTTCTGATCAACTCTTTCTTTCTTTCTTTCTTTCTTTCTTTCTTTCTTTCTTTCTTTCCAGTTATTTTTCTTTCATTCTTTTCATACTTTCTCATTGCTTTTCTCTTTTCTGATCAACTCTTTCTTTCTTTCTTTCTTTCTTTCTTTCTTTCTTTCTTTCCAGTTATTTTTCTTTCATTCTTTTCGTACTTTCTGATTGCTTTTCTCTTTTCTGATCAACTCTTTCTTTCTTTCTTTCTTTCTTTCTTTCTTTCTTTCTTTCCAGTTATTTTTCTTTCATTCTTTTCATACTTTCTCATTTTCTTTTCTCTTTTCTGATCAACTCTTTCTTTCTTTTCTTTCTTTCTTTCTTTCTTTCTTTCTTTCTTTCTTTCTTTCTTTCTTTCAGTTATTTTTTCTTTCATTCTTTTCGTACTTTCTGATTGCTTTTCTCTTTTCTGATCAACTCTTTCTTTCTTTCTTTCTTTCTTTCTTTCTTTTTTCTTTTCTTTCTTTTCCAGTTATTTTTCTTTTTTCATTCTTTTTTCTTTCTTTCTCATTGCTTTTCTCTTTTCTGATCAACTCTTTTCTTTTTCTTCTTTCTTTCTTTCTTTTCTTTCTTTCTTTCCAGTTATTTTTCTTTCATTCTTTTCATACTTTCTGATTGCTTTTCTCTTTTCTGATCAACTCTTTCTTTCTTTCTTTCTTTCTTTCTTTTCTTTTTCTTTCTTTCCAGTTATTTTTCTTTCATTCTTTTCATACTTTCTCATTGCTTTTCTCTTTTCTGATCAACTCTTTTTTTTTCTTTCTTTCTTTCTTTCTTTCTTTCTTTCTTTCTTTCTTTCCAGTTATTTTTCTTTCATTCTTTTTTCATACTTTCTCATTGCTTTTCTCTTTTCTGATCAACTCTTTCTTTCTTTCTTTCTTTCTTTCTTTCTTTTTTCTTTCTTTCTTTCTTTCCAGTTATTTTTTTTTTTATTCTTTTCATACTTTCTCATTGCTTTTCTCTTTTCTGATCAACTCTTTCTTTCTTTCTTTTTCTTTCTTTCTTTTTTCTTTCTTTCCAGTTATTTTTTTCATTCATTCTTTTCGTACTTTCTGATTGCTTTTCTCTTTTCTGATCAACTCTTTCTTTCTTTTTCTTTCTTTCTTTCTTTCTTTTCTTTCTTTCTTTCCAGTTATTTTTTTTCATTCTTTTCGTACTTTCTGATTGCTTTTCTCTTTTCTGATCAACTCTTTCTTTCTTTTCTTTCTTTCTTTTTTTTTCTTTCTTTCTTACTTTCCAGTTATTTTTCCTTCATTCTTTTCATACTTTCTCATTGCTTTTCTCTTTTCTGATCAACTCTTTTCTTTCTTTCTTTCTTTCTTTCTTTCTTTCTTTCTTTCTTTCCAGTTATTTTTCTTTCATTCTTTTCATACTTTCTCATTGCTTTTCTCTTTTCTGATCAACTCTTTTTCTTTTCTTTCTTTCTTTCTTTCTTTCTTTTATTTTTTTTCATTCTTTATTTTTCTTTTCATTCTTTTTTGATACTTTCTCATTGCTTTTTTCTCTTTTCTGATCAACTCTTTTCTTTCTTTCTTTTCTTTCTTTCTTTCTTTCTTTCTTTTCTTTCTTTCTTTCCAGTTATTTTTCTTTTCATTTCTTTTCGTTCTTTCTGATTGCTTTTCTCTTTTTCTGATCAACTCTTTCTTTCTTTCTTTCTTTTTTCTTTCTTTTTTTTCTTTCTTTTTTCTTTTCCAGTTATTTTTTCTTTCATTCTTTTCATACTTTCTCATTGCTTTTCTCTTTTCTGATCAACTCTTTCTTTCTTTCTTTTCTTTTTTCTTTCTTTTTCTTTCTTTCTTTTTTTTTCCAGTTATTTTTTTTCATTCTTTTCATACTTTCTCATTGCTTTTCTCTTTTCTGATCAACTCTTTCTTTCTTTCTTTTCTTTCTTTTCTTTTTTCTTTCTTTCTTTCCAGTTATTTTTTCTTTTTCATTCTTTTCGTACTTTCTGATTGCTTTTTCTCTTTTTTCTGATCAACTCTTTCTTTCTTTTCAACTCTTTCTTTTTTTCTTTCTTTCTTTTTTCTTTCTTTCCAGTTATTTTTCTTTCATTCTTTTCATACTTTCTCATTGCTTTTCTCTTTTCTGATCAACTCTTTCTTTCTTTCTTTCTTTCTTTCTTTCTTTCTTTCTTTCTTTCCAGTTATTTTTCTT